TTGCCTTTTTATTTCAAATTAATGATACCGCGGAAATTGACCAGCGACCCTCGTAATTATTGGAAATATTGCTCGGAAAATTAAGTGCCATTTCATATCATAAACGTAGTGTAAAGTATGAAAACGTCGCGTACAGTTCCTCTTTTTATTTCGACTGGTAGTGTAAATCTATCTATACAACCAACCAACGACGTGACACCACAGAAATCTTTGCCATCACATTCTATTCACATTAGAATATGTAACACCCTATAAAAGAGATACCTTATTTTACAATTCAAACGAAAAAAGAAACAAATAAAAGTTTTGATTGCACGCAATCCACATTTCATTTGTAAAATATTATTTCTTTGGTGACAAATGTGCCTTCTCGAGAGACACAATATATTCTCCTTTATCCTATAGAGAAGGTTTAGATTAAGGGTTTCTGCTGGGTATAGAAATTGTATTTCTTTTCTGTACAATTAAAACCAATTAAATACATTTTCGAGGACCGAATCCTTTAGTGACAATGCGTCAAAACTTACCTCGAAACAAATTTAATTTTCAAATGGCGTTACAAAATTAACGATTTTACGTCCGCCCGCTAGAATTTAACAGGCCAATACACTTTATTTTCTTGCGGGCGGAAAAGCCCCGTCACAATTAACTTTACTAAAGCGTTTTCAAATCTAATTGCAGCTGTGATTCCACAAACTTCCCACGTGGTCAAAAAGGGCGTTTACTTTAATTCTTCACTCTCCAGTGAATACAATTCTCGCGGAAATGTCCGTACTCTATGTGTGTGACAATTTTTCAAACTTTGCGATCTCATTTTCGTGAGCGGAAAGTCGGCACGGTACTTCGAGTGATACCTGCCTCTATCTCTCCCCTTTCTCTTTTCACTATTTATAATTGCCAAGACGACCGAAACGGATCCAACGCAAATTTTAGGACCGCGTCCTTTATCACCTAATCCGAAAGCCTCGATTCTTGTTTACTGTGCGTTTTCGGTTCACAATAAGGGAACCAACGAAGCTAGACGTTTCTCTTCTTGCAAAAAGCATGCATGGTGCTGGATCTGGGCTGTGGAGTGTAGGGTGGATGCTTGAACATGTTGAGCTATGTAAGTCCTGTAATAATGTGGTGCTTCAAGAGCGCTTTCCACGCATTCAATCGTGCTTCCATAAACCTCACCATGAACGTGGTCCCTTTTACGGTTCATTCAATAAACAAAACTTTTTAAAGTAAAGTAGGTATCAAAAAGAAAGCCTCTTCAAAGAGTCTATGCTACAAACATTGAAATTCTATTTAAAGAAATTTCCTATGACGTCATAGATCTCCCAAATATGTCTCAAAAATGTCCAAGCGACTGTCACAAAATGGAAATTTTATGTATTGTTCTGTAAAACTACGCCACGCCGACGTTATTTTGGCTTCGGCATGTGCAATAATATATATATTCGAATGAGATAATTACAATCAGTGCTTATTTATAATGGTAATATGCTTCTTAATTATGAAATTGGGCGCAGATTTTTTAACCACTCCATTGCTGCATCGGAATGTTAACAATTTCGTTGCGTAACATAAAATTTAATTAGTTACAAGATAAGCACGTGTTATATCCGATCAGAAAACAACATGTGTGCTGTTGATTTCCAGGCTGGAGTCATTCAAATTTGGTTTCAATTGGCTGTTTGTGTACGCAATCTTAAAGCAGGAGATTTTTTAAGATGGAAGATTGGAGATACGAAAACATAGACACAACGACAATGATTCGGATAAATCAAACATTGGAGCTGCAAACTGGATCTTTCCGTCGGTAAACTCCACTTCAATGAAATTTCCAGTGATTTTCTGTACGAAAGGTTATTGTCAACGGGTTTTTAATTGGTGCTGAAAGTTATCCGCCACAAAAGAAGAAGTTTTCACTAAATAACATTTTTTCACCTTAATTTTTATAAATGTGTTTCCAACTGCCGACGTTTAGAATACTTTTACTTCTATTTTTTAATTTTAATAATTTTTTATAATTTTTCTACTACGAAATTTAACGATAACGTGACCGAACTTGACACCTAAAATTAATAATAGTCCTTTGTAGCGAAAATATTACACTGGCACGTTTAAGCGATTTGTCCTTGACCGATAACAGTTGTCCAAGTTCAGCTTAAACCTTGCCTTACACCTTTTTTTGTGATTTCTATAGAGGTTAAAACAACACGATTAATTACTTTCCGATGGAAAACGTTCACTCGGCTATAACTCGACCGGGCAATTAATGTTTCAAACTAATGTCACAAAAAATAGCAACCTTCACTCTGGTAATCTTGGAACCAAATTTATTTAATGTTACTCTTATTCACTCAAAACCCGAAAAAATTCAAGAAAATGTTCTTCTGGACCGCGCGCTGGTAGCCTAAAAACGAATCTCTCTCGCGGCTTGACCCTTAATGCATTCAAGAAAAATTTCCGGAATAATCCCTTCCTATTATTTATTTATTTATTAATGCTTCTTAAAGATGTCTAGTAAATAGAACCATTTTTCATTAAGAGCCATTAACATCGTTGTATATTTATTGAATAGTTGAAATATTCTCTTATTGGTAGCTGATTTGCTCTTTTGAAAGGTAGCAGCAACAGCAAGTTGGAAAATTGGATGGTGGAACGCCTCTTTTTCAATAAAATGGGACCTTTGTATCTCCAAGTAAACATTTGGTTACCCGTTGACATTCAATCCGAAAGATGGTTAACGAATTTTAATTCAGAACAAACCTGTGCTTCAGGTTCTACGCAATTTATTAGTTCCAATTTAGTTTATTTACTGGAATGGTTACCGTTGTTCCGCAATATAGAAATGTACAAAATTACGTTTATAACTTAGGGTTTTGACTCCCAACAAAAGCACGAATTATAATCTTTTTATCGGTTGCCGTTTTATTTATTATATTATTAGCATCTCGTATAAACACATTAGGTGCACAATTTTGATTAATAAACTGTTTTTTTAACGTAATTTGCCACTCCAAATATAGCGCAACGAAATTCTTGCACCCTAGACCCCAACGCTTTCGTGGTAACAATTTATTTAAGCGAGAGCAGAATATCTCGTCCAAACTAATACGGAACGCCTCGCAATATTTCTGGTTACCACACGAAGAAGTTCCCCTTTCTTCTTAAATCCGTCACTTTATACAGCTTAACTCGTAATGGCGACTCGTAACGAATTTAAAATGTTACCCAGCAAAAATTTTGTCGAACTTCCGGCACAGTTTTCACTTGAAATCTGATGAAAATCTTCGTCTTTCGCAATACTGTATCACGTACGACTACGGGACTGACAAATCTTTTCGTATACCTCGATTATACGGCTTTCGGTCCGCATTTTTAATTAACAAATGAAATTTCACGCGATTTAAAAAATGACGTACCCAACTCACCTGATTTACCTTGAAAGCTTGGTGAAGAATTTCATGGTACGCGATGTACCATGCTTTACGCTACGTAGTATTGCCTCGTAAGCATTGCTACGAATTCAATGACAAAAAATGAAGCGCTCGACGACATAGATCCTCTTCGAAACTTCGAGTCAATAATGCCGCTCTCCTACCAAATTTTTCATAGTCTTGTCGCCGATTTGAAAAACCGAAGCCGCCCCACAGACGGATTTTTGGCTACGTTTTTTTCTGCATGGGTAGATATGCGGAGAGTGCCTCTCTCATGCTCCGTAGCGACGGTTTCTACAACCGGCAACACTGTAACTTTTCGACGTTATCCGCTTGAACACTCGCCCTTATCCTAATGTGCTTTATTTTCTCGCATATTAGTTCTGTTCTCTTTCCTTATGAACCGGTACATGTGAATTTTTGCTATACCGGCAAAGTTATAGATTCTAAGAAGTCTTTAAAACCTAAAGCGACCGCATGTTAAATTGATCAAAATGTTACATTAATCCCGTCAACTCCAAAAGGCAATTCTGAATTAAAATAATAAAATAATTATAGTTTGTAATCGTACACAAATGTACGTACATCAGTCGTACAGATTTGTCCCATGGACGTATGTACGTAAAATGGAACAAAAATGTACGTACAGTGGATAATGCGTGCTGTATCGGATATTGACTTGTAAGTTAGTAAAAAAATAAAATTTTGGGAGTTTAGACAATTACGTATTGAGAGTACTACGTACTGGTAAACTACCACACTAGTGCTCCAATCTAGACTGGAGTAGACTGTCTCAAAATATAATACTTATGGCTAAATTGTAGCTTATTTACATTGAAAAACGCCAAGTAAATTAAGTATTTGGTACCGAAATTAAAAAAAAATTAGTTCTCTGAACGGGAGCTGTTGCCGGCTACAAAGTTAAGCCAGGAAAAACTTCGGGAATGTGGAGAAACTTTTTTCGGGTTAATTAACGTTCTGCAACAGAGTTTAATAGACAGTGTTTTTCGCTGCAGTAATGGAATTAAACTACGTAACCATATTAGGGGAATTAAAGGAAAACGCGTCGATCTACACGTTTAAAGGTAATTGTTTTACATAGTTTGGAGAACAAAAACTCCGCTAATATCGGAAATCAATTTGAAAACGAATGCTTAAACTCCTGTGGTCGCTTTCAAATAGCCAGAATGACCAAAAATGTAGGCATATTTATTTCACATAAAAAGCGGTGATCAAGTGGAAATGGTCCATTGGCTTCTAATGTCTACTAAAGGTTAATTTAAGGTAGTGCCTGGCTTTCAGAGTTTGACGGACCAGATCATTTTAAGTACGTTGTGGGGATAATATAAAATAAGTTATACCTCAGCAACTAATCTTAACTTGGTCATTCACATGTCTTTCCAAAGCGATAGAGAAATTGCTGATTTTACGAACCTAACCGTTTCAATTCCTGCATCGTCATTTGAATCTCAAAACGTAAAGTACAATTTAACAAGGGTGCGACGAAACTAACACGCATCTCGGCTACCCTCCACGTATACCTTTTCAAGGGGGTTGGGTTTCTTTGTTTGCTTACAACTGGCCGAAGCAGTTGCTGATCCAGCAAAATTCGCTAGCTTTCAGCTCGGATCGGAAACGAATATTGAGTTTAACACCTTTTAAAGATGCGTTCTCCTCGATTACTCCATTACTTCGAAATTCAATTTGTCGCTTCGTCCCTGATTAAAATTGAAAAGCGTCTGCGATATTAAAATTTAGACTTTTTCTCCTGCCGCTGGCTGTTAGTATTCGCACAAGTTTCGAGGAGTGTTTCGCAACCGAACAAACGGGTTCTCGAACTCGAAAGGGCATCATTAATTTCGAGTTGGTGGCAATTTAAAGTTCGCTAAAAGCATTCATCGGTGCCTTGTTACGCCTCGTAGATTTTTGCGGGACCTCGCCAACCGCTGTGGGCAATTAATAATGCAATAGGGCGCATTTGGTCAGGTCTAACCAAAATGCCCCTTTAAAAGGAAAACATAAAATCGTCCTAACCTGAACGTCACTGAAAGACGGCGAGGGGTGAATTATTAATGTTGTAGGTACTTCAGAACAGTTCTATTGAAACAAAGGCCGGGATCGCTACTTTAGATCTGCACAAAGGGAAGTACCTTGGGATTTCAGTTTTCTTATATTTTAAGGTGCTAGTCGCTCATGATTTCCCTCATCTTCAATGTGTCTAATTTCATATGAAAGAAAGCTAAGGAAACACAAAATTTGTTTGTAATAACTTGAAACACCCTGTATGTAGCGTAATTCAAGTTATTTCATAAGACCTGAGATTTTTTTTAAATTTTAAATGAACACAGAATGGAGACATTTTGTTCAATTGACATTTTAATACGAGTTTCTTATTGTAAATTTGACCGGTAATTGTTTAATTCATTTAATTCTATTTCTTGTATTTAGTTTGCATGATAAATTTAATTTAATTTAATGGTAATTTTTACGTGAGTTAAAAGTTTTATCTAATCACGTTATTATCGAACAAAAATTAATTGATTTTGCGATAAACAAAGCCACGTGCGAGATAAGCAATACAGGTGGTTATCAGTTCGGACGACGGTGCGGAATTTCGAGTGTCAATTTCTTAATGGAAGTAGTTTCCCTCTTAAATAGGAAGAACGAAGAATAAGAGGACTCGGGTTACTTTGAAAGAGAACCTAAAATCCGTGACGACAATTTGCACGGGCAGTCTAGTCGGATATGTGATTTTGCACACAAGAAAACTAGTCGTCTTGATATTAACAAAAATGCGGATAGCGGAAAGTTCAATTTTGTGAAGTTTTTTCTCTCCGAGTCAGTTCTGACGTATGAAAAGTGAGCTCTGTTATTTTTTAGATGTTAAAGTGAGTAGATCTCTTAAATTGTTTTTCGATCGACCGTTTTGCAAAAGAGGTGCTTTGTATTCAAAAGGTACTGTTAGCCTTACATTTTTCTTACAGGATTCGTTGTATTTTTATCAATTATGTGTGAATCCAGGTAGAATTTTATTTTTCTGTTTCAGATTTATCTAATTTGCGTTTCTCCGAATGTTATTACCAGTCCAAAATTTGAGTAGTGATTTCATTACAATTTACGGAATGTGATTGAAGCCTTCGAGTTTTGAAACTCAATTTATACTGTGCTCCCCGTCCCATTTGAAATAAAAATGACAGATGTCATTAGAATCAATTTCAATTTTTCTACCCTTACGGTTGAAGTGATCACTTTATTTACCCCCACTGTTAAAGAGAGATTTAGCCTACTCATTCAAACCTATTAAAATGTCAATTTCACATCTGCTATAAAATAGACGTTTAAATATGCACGATATTGGTTGATAAAACGTCATTTTATAGGTGTGGTTAATTAATGAGTAAAGTAAGGGAAATTTTCTGAAGGCAGACTGCGTTCTTAGCCGAGCGAACGAACACGTCGTCGCCGAAGAAATTAATTCGCTTTTTAGTAATCGGGGCGACCAGTTAGGGTCCAAATTAAAAGTTAAAACTCTTTAGCCGGGAATTTGAATTTAATACCCCGCACGCTGGTGGGCAATAATTAAAAAAAATTAAATTACTTACAGTTTTTTTCCATAATAATCTATATGATCTGGTCGTACAAGATTTGAGATATTCAGGCTCATTTTTTAAAGACAAAAAACACTCACCTTAAATAAGAAACTCAGGCAACAACTCGATTTTCATGTTTAATTTCGTTAATAGTACTACCGATTTTGTGAAAATTTTATCGTACGCTCTTTAGGCGGTTTCGCATCGATTCCGCGAATTTGGGACCTGGGAGATATCGTTTGGCGGGTGGGGAGCATCGTCGTCGAGGTGTGCGTATGCGGATAAAAATTTGCCGTAGCTATACGGTTTGGGTTAGGGCCTCGAGCCGCCGGCTAAGGTAGGTAGGGATAGTTAGCGCAACTTTCGGCGAGGTTAAGGAAATTCCCGCGGCAACCTACGGGGTAGCTGCCTAAGAAGCGAAAAAATCGAAAATTTTAGAAAAAAAATTGGTAACTCGAAAACGTAACCGGATTTCCTTTTGGGGTTTTCGGGACATCGCGGGGGACGTGAGGGGGCGTGTTCGTGTGGCGGTAGCATTCCGGGGTTAATTCGAATTTGGAAACGGCACGACCCGGAGCGCCTCTCTCGAAAATGGGGTTTTTCGCATTTTCGCACTTTGAGGCCGAACCGTTAGAGTTAGAGCGAAACGTACAATTGCGCGTTTGTAGATCTCGGGTCGACCTACCACCCCCCGGAGAAACCTCACTTTTTTTAAATTAAACTGAACTCAATAACTCGAACTGTCTTAATAAGATGAAAAGAATTTTCGGTTGCTGATCGGACAGTAACACCGATCAACTTTCACTAAGCAGACATCTATTTTGTTTACACACACTCGAACAAATTTCTTCTGAACACTTTAATTCGAAACCGACGAACTGAGTTTTCAACAAAATAACTAGGGCAGATTGCCCCAGATCTAGCGTAAGTACATTTACACGTTTTTTAACCGTCGCGAAATTCGCAGCACCAGAAGCCTTGTTTTTACATTGTCTCCAGTATTTAAGGGAACACTACTTCCACTATAAAATAATCGCCCATTTCGGGATTTTCAAAAACACCGCCGAACTTACGCCGAAATAACGCGCACATCTTGGTAAAACACTTGCGTTAATGTCGTCCGATAAAAACTCTTTATCGCAATCCACCAGATAAAACCTTTACCATTTTAATTAATAAATTAAAATGGTCAGAGCACATTACGGAATTATCGGCAAGATGCGAGAAATCCTTAAACATTATGCGTATGTTAATTCGCGTTAGGTGGGGAATCGATCGTAATACCGCCCTAAATCTCCATAAAAGTCTCATTAGAACACAACTAGATTATGGATGCATTTTGTATTCCAATACAAATTACTCTAACCTACAACGAATAAATGTCTTACAAAATAAAAGCTTGAAACTCTGCATTGGAGCTATGAAATCTACCCCCACCAACGCCCTGCATGTCGAATCACAGGAACCTCCAAATGATTTACGTCGAAAATATCTAGCTGCCAAGTATGTTATAAAACTAAAAAACCATAATATGACGTCAATACATAGTCTACTAACTGAGTTGTCAAGAGAAGATCTCACAGCAGATTATTGGAAAAGAAAAACTTCACCTATTTTGGCAATTGCTTATAGGGAGATTGAAACACAGACACCGGATATTTACAAAATCACAATCCCTAATATAAAATTTCAAGAAACCTTACTAACACCGTATGTACAGTTTCCACCATATAATGGATATCCAATCCATGATACATATCTGTTCAGAGTGATTGCAGATACAGAAGAAGAAACATGTTCCATCTTTACTGATGGCTCAAAAAATGACCGAGGAGTAGGCTGTGCATTTTATGATCACACAAACAATACCTATAGGACCTACAAACTTAATCCGAACACAGCAATATTCACTGCGGAAGCAATTGCAGTATATGAAGCTTTAAAGTATTGTCATAACTGTGAAATAAAAAATGCTGTAATAATGTCAGATTCGATGAGTGTCCTGAAGAGCCTACAGAAAAAATATTGCCCACATTCATATGACCCGATCATTTCAAAAATATACGCGTGTTTTACACAGTTGATTGCTCAAAAATATAAAATTAAATTTTACTGGGTGAAATCGCATGTTAGTATAGATCAAAATGAAAAAGTGGATAGACTGGCAAAGCAGGCAATCGAAAGTGGTACGATATACAGTAATAGAATCACCGCAAGAGATGCATTAGCATATTACAAAAAACAAATACTAAATGATCTATGGCAAGAACGGTGGGAAAACTCATACAAGGAAAAAAGTACACAGTATGCAAATATTCACCCATACTTACTTAAGGAACACTGGTCCAACAACTATACAGTTAGTAGACAGTATTCTACTACGATAACAAGATTAAAATTTGGACACGGACAATTTCCAGCTCATCTATTTAGAATTGGAATATTGGAATCACCAAACTGTACGTGTGGAGATGAAATAGGCGATTTGAACCACATCCTTTTTAATTGCAGAAACCACATCGAATTAACCAATATGCTAATTCGAAGTATAATCCGATTAAAAGTCCCATTACCTACAAATATAGAAGCATTATTATCTACTGACAACAAAAAGATTTACGATCTACTTATTGAAATGCTTATAGCCACCAAGACTACAATATAATTACATTGTAAAATAAATAGTCAAAGTCCTAATTCATTTGTTCCCTTATTGTTACAACCGTGGTCACCCTTGTTGTGTTTAATAGTCTCCATGAAAGACCGCATGGAGTGAAGCGAGTGAACCCTGTGAATTAATCCAACAGTTTAGATGAAATAGGTATATACTTCTCTGCGGCCAAATGGGCATAGATCCCAATAGGGCTGAAAAAAAAAAAAAAAAAAAAAAAAAAAAAAAAAAAGTACACAAACTTGACCAGATGTGTCTAACTTAAAGCATCTTATCTAAATTGAATACATTACAAAAGTAATAAAATTTAAACCAAAAAATAATATTCAATTACAAACAATTCCAAGAGGAAATAACACAGTCTGAGATACCAAATTCAATTAAAACAAACCAATAATGTGCTTAACTTGCCGAGCGCGTATTTAATTAGTTTTGTGCTTGTTTTAAAACGGAAAGCGTCGAGAGGTGTTTCAAAAATTCGAGAAGAGTTTTAAAAGGTGTTTCGGGAATGTTAGGGACTTAATTTTTAATTCTTGAAGGAAGAAAGAATTCTACAAAGAACTCTCGTTTTTCGCGTGTAATGTTGGTTGCCCTGTGGACATCTATTGCGTGGTTTTTACCACCCGCACGTTAACATTGGGGTAAAAAAAGACCCCCCTATTTTTTTCCGGAAACACATCTTTTGAACCACCAGTAATCCTAATCAAACAAAATCTCGATGATGTCGATCGGTCTGTCGGCCGGTCGGTCTGTCTGTATGTACTCTCATTTCCGGTTACAACGAATTAAACCAAATTTTGTGCACATATTTTTAGACATAAAAGGGAAGAATCGCGCAAGCACAGGTGTGCGGGTAGTATCTGTGCTAGCACAGCAAATTTTTTTTGAGATATGCATAACCCATAGGTACACATTTAAAAAAATTCATTTTCGCGCTATAGTTTCTTAAAATTTAAACCTAATACAGTAATGCAGAAAGGTCTTGTCTAATTGGGTAAGACACGTAGTGTCCTGAAGTTTATTATCACACCCCTGTATATCTTCTTATGCGGGGTACAAAGCCAAACGCAAAATATGCGACGCATTTACTGGTAAGAAATTTTGGGCAATAGACTTTGGTGGACTTCTGCACGCAAAAACGCCCGAAATTGTTGGTCCTTGGAAACTATGAGAAGAAGGGAAAACCGGTGAACTTATTTTGGAGAAGGAATAGTGCACCCTAACCCAATTTGTCCAACAACTGCACTTATTTGGCCTTTATGGATGTTAGATTGGAAAGCGGCCCTTGCCAATATAATCCTGATTACGTCGTCGTTGGGTTGTTTACCTGCATTCTTACTTTTTGACGTCGTATCAGCTGGTTCAAGATCAGGTATGGTTGCTCCGCGTATTAAATAAACTAAATTACGTTTGCATTCTTGCATTACTATTTTATTCAAATTGTGTATTGATTAAAAATTTTTCAGTTAGGATTCGAAATTTACATAGACTGTTTTATTTTATTTATTTTTTTTTTTTTTCATTAATAATAAAATTTTATTTAAACGAAATATTTAAAATTGTGTAACAAAGAAGAAAACAATAATTAACTATAACAAAAAAATTTCGTCGAACTGTTTTTCAGTTGGGAGAGTGCCCAGGATACATGCACTATTTCCACGTTGGATGGCCAAGGATATCCTTTGAAATAAAAATTGCTTAGCGCGTTTGTCGCCGGATTCCGCAATTAAACTTTTGCCTATTTTATTCAGAAAATCTCGTGATTCCTTGCACCATGGTCCAAGTGTCTCGAAGGCAAGTCCCATAAATATATAATCTTTCTTTAAATCTCGATATTTGTTGTGTTTTTTTGAGCATGCCTCTTCTGCTGCAGCTCCGGCTCTTATTGAATTACTTTTAATGTTTGTTTGGGATAAAGTGTCCACGCATGTACAGTCCCATGCAAGGGATTGGCCTTTAGCGTATGCTGTAAGCGTTATCCCATCAGGTCGTTTTCCATCAGAACGGTATAGTCCAACCGGTTCCAAAGTAGACGATACGCTGATGGAAGTAAGTGCTCGGTGAATTATTTGATTTAACTCTGTGTGTCGTGACATTCGACCTTTGTTGTTCACTCTGCAGCTAAGCCCATGGTATCCTTTTTCATTCACTATTTCTTCACAATTTGAACATGGATGTATTTCAAATATTTTATTTATTTATTTTATTTAAAGTGTAACTTATAACGTTTGCATCATAAATATGCCAGATCATGTAATACCTGCATTTGACAGTATTTATTGATTTGAAGGTATAATTCAGGTAACGTATCAATGTTGATATGAATATTAGTGGCGCATTATCTGAGCACAACTTCCCAAATTTTCTTATCTACCTAATTCATTAATTTACCACACGATATTTTTATATAGGCAAAGCAAAAAAGAAGTGAGTTTTATACAACGAATTAATAACCTAAGGAGTGTCACGGATTTTTTGCTATAATTTGTTTTCAATAGAGACGTAATGGTACAAGATATTATCTCATATAATGTGAACGATATAATATTCTTTGAAATCCTGACTTTTTTTCATGGTGTTTCTGTACAATACCTTAAATTTCGTTCAAGAGCCCTTTATTATAACCATTGAAAAAAAGTGTTTTCATTTAATGCTAACACTAAGAGCTGTGGTAACTACTTTCATCGTAAGTTATGAACTACGCGTTCTACGTTTCCACTTCATAACGAATAAATCATCCTACGCATTCGTTTTGGATTTATATTTGCCCTCATCCACCACCCAACTGAAAACTGTTTCAAAAGTTACTTTAAAAATTAGACCTATCTACGCCGCCTACTAAATCATCATTTATTCGCAAAGCTTTCGCGCTCTTTGATGTGTTCCGACGGAAGTATCTAATGTGCGCAAAAATTAAAATAAACACCTTACCTTTTGGTCTATCGTAAGCGTTAATACATTCGGAAGTCATAAATTGGCTAATAAGAGCTGTCTTTCCAACTCCTTGCGCTCCTAAAAGAGCGACCGTATACTTTGTGACGTCTGCCTGAATGTGATCTGGACCATCCATTACAGGAGAAGGAGTTCCAATCGTTGCCGGCGGACATAAGCTATTACTCCGGGATCTTCGCCGTCTAAAGGAATCTCCACGATTGACGATCCCTGAAAAAGGGAGAAAAGAGCGTAAGAATAATTATGTCTGTTTGGCGTCTTCGTTTATTTTTTGTCAAAGTTCGATGACTTGGTATTTCACATGTAACGTTATTTTTAATACGTTAATAATTAGCCGAGTTCAGTGCCATGAAATGCTATTTCGTTTTTTAACGTCAATCACGCGTTTGCATTGCTTCAGCTTGTTCGAGGAAACAACAACGGGTTCGTAGTAAGTAATTCTGTCAACGGCGTTAATTTGAGGTGGCAAAAATGTTCTTTCATTTCGAAGAAGCGTGTCATTGTCACTTCGAGAAATAATAAATAACATATACATATGTCGACCTTATTTCTACATTTTTTAAATTGAAACACGAAAAACTGCCAAAGGCATCGCTAAATTGTCATAAAAAATGCCTAAAGTGTAGGAATTAATGTACTATTAACTGTAACAACCTGGGTTCGTGATGATGAATCAAACTACACATGCAAATGAAACTATAAGCAGCATAAGCAATTTCAGACACTAGCGCCAATTTTCACCAACTTTTCATTAGAAATTAGAGCTATAACATCGACTGAGAAAAGTAATCTCAGCTTTCTACAATATCTTCTAAAGTAAATAAAAAATATCTTCCTCTCATAAATTAAATTTACTGCCGTGAACCTGACGAATGGATTAAACTCTTTCGTAGTCGTAAAATCATCCTAATTGACGCAGAAAAAATCAATAAGGAACAATAAAGTGCATATTTTTAAGTAGTGAAGCTTTCTCTTACTTCTGTAATCTCAGTAAATGTTTCCAACTTTGTTTGTCAAGCTCATTAACTCCGAACAGTTGTATTAATAAAAATAGTGGTTTGTCCGTAACTTTTCAAATACAAGGATACACCAGAAAAGACCAATTCTGTATCAACATTGTCCTCTGAAGAAGGACATTCGTATATGAGGTACCTTTTTGCACAATTTATGTAAAATTAAAGGTGTGAATCTTTTAGAAAAAAAATAATCGTAATTTTACTTAGAAACTTGGAAAATTGGAATTCTTTTTTTTTTTCATTAATATATTCAAAACATTGTGGTAATTTTGTGTTTCAACAAACCTATAGAAAAATCGATTACCTATTGAAGTCTAATTTCAGGAAACTGGAAAGGGAAGAAATCTTCAATAAATCAATCAATCATAGTAAAATTCCATATAGATCTAGTCGTCGGTCAAGTCATAATTTTAGGAATTTGCGAGATTCCTTGGACATTCATATTTTGATTTCGAAAAGGAAAAGAATTTCAACACCTCTTATGCAAAGCTCGCTAGTAGTTACCACTTTATTATGTAACTCCATAAAATAATTCCCCTCATACAGGTTATGTCCTTGCCTCAGTATGCGAATGTCACTGCAGCCAATCCACTACTAACTTCCTAAGGTCCCCACCAATGGTGGAACACGATACATCTAATAATCTTTAAAAAGTGAATGTGTGTTGTTCTGTTAGTTTCTTAAGTGGTACACGTGGCCGCTTTCCCTGTGCCGGATGGTGGTGATGAGGAACCCCCTGCTAGTTGTTTGGAGCCTGAAGAACCTCCTGTTGGTGATCTGGGACCTCGTTCCCCCCACAGTCGGGTACCGGGATTACCACGTCCCAGGAAGGATGGAGTGGTGGGACGATGTCCGCCGCAACTTCTACCTCCAACGGCGGATTGATTGTTGGGGCTCGGGATCGAGGCACCTGCCTTATCTTGGATTTCATACATGACTGCACCGCAGCGAAGTATAATGGTTCCTGGTGACCATTGGGATTCATGATTCTAGGAACATCACTCGAACCCCCACAGAAAATTTGAGGTTAATTGAGACCGGGAGTAATGTTTGAACGCTGGAAGGGCGCATGCAGTCCCATGGTGCCCGGTCCTCAGGGTTTTCAGCGTTTGGCGTATTGTGGTGTGCACGCATAGAGCGGAGTACTCGATTCAGACACACAGAACGCAGCCATTGAGCAAGAGAGCTCAGATGACTGGGTCGCGTAGGGATGTGGTTTCTTGGAAACCTTGAATGGCCAAGCATTTTGTATCATGGTCAGAACTTTGCTGAGGATCTGGTCGGTGGCGGTGAATGTGGCTATTTCCAGACTGGAGACGGGCGCCAAACGACTCAGTTCGAGAAGACAAATGCCAACCGGCTCAGGTTCTTCATACGCCGGATCCTCAAGTGATGGAAGTCTGCTGAGTGCCTCCACATAAGCGTGGAATTTTCGACACTGAATCTGATAGTCATATCCTGTCAGGAGGAGTCGCCAACGAAGCATCCTAAGAGGCAAAGTATCAAGGATACTCTTATTCGGATTGAAGATGTCCACAAATGGCTCATGGTCTGGGACTATTATCACACTTAGGCATTCCGCAGGGAATTGATGAAATTTGTGTGCACCAAAAATTATGCTGAATTGCTTGAATGCTTTGGACATTCTGCGCGAAGGTAGACAATAGGCATTTTAGCACCCTGTTGAGTTGGCTGAGATATTACTGCGCGCAGGCCGTTATGCACTAGCGTCACGCGCCAGAATGATTGGAAGGAGGCTGTTATATTATGTGAGCACAAGCTCTACATCAGATAAAATCATCTTTACGTGCTGCACACATCTTCGGATAAACGGTGAGTCGGAATCAAGAAGTCTGTATCAGAGGAACGGACAGACAGACAGCAATACAAAATTATAAACGATCTCGAGGATCGTTAATAAAACACTGATTTATTCTATTATCTAAACAAGTCCAATTCCACTGATGTATTGTTCCATCGTGGGTTTTTAAAACGTGTTGTGTATTGAGGAAGGGGTTTAAAGAAATTCTTTTTAACACGTTTTTGTATTTTTCTTTTGCTGCTATCGATTTCGACCTAACTGGTCATCTTCAGGCCGAGCGTCATTGATGAAGTGAAATGAATACAAAATTTTAACGATGTTAGTGGTCAGGAATGAAAAATTAATGTACGAAAGAGTGAGGTTGTGTATTTCTTTAAACCCCTTCCTCAAGTCCAATTCCAGTGGGTGTTTAAAAAGAAAAGTGCATGCAATACAAAAAACTCTTTCTTTCTCGACCCAATTTTTTCTGCCTTCCGTCACGGTGATCTGTGTCGATAGTTTTCACCTTTAGGTTTACTTAGATGGAATATCAAATACCGCAAATAAAACGGCCCCTTTTCAGGTGAAGATGTTCATACCAAAATTACTCTGGAGACAACTATTCTTACCGCGACAGTGATGTATAAGATTAACTAGCACTAAACCTAATTCTGTCGGATAACTTTTCTTCAATTAATTGACCAGGGAGTCGCGGCCCTAGGGATGAAAACATTTTGAATGGTTCATCCTTAGGTATAACAATTCTATTTATTACCACAACAGGATGAATCTAACAATGTTGTACAGGTTTTAAATGTCTTTTTTTTTAAAAGAGCCTATACGCAACCTCGCCTGCTTTACTTCCGTGAAGGTTTTAACAAACGCAAATTTTTAACACAAACTTCTGTGAAAAATGTGGCAGCAAACCTCGAGCAGGACAAGGTAATTGACCACGGCTCACTAAAAATAAAATAAGGTGAATCCTGAGGCACCTTTAAACTTACATACCCTATTAATAAATGGGTTCCGGATTACAATATAGGCATAAGAAAGATAGATACTTAAATGGAAACATATGACAACCTTTGCCTCAAAAAAATATAAACACTGAACTGTAGCTTGAGAGCTCTTGAAATTTCCTCTTCAGCTTTTCAACGACAAAAGCAAATGTGATATTCCCCCATTCCCATTTATACCAACTACACTCCTAAGATACTAAAAGCGCAATCTGTCAGTTACTCAAACTAAGGGTACACTCAACGAAACAACGAGGCGTTACAACGTAAAGATTCTCACGAAGCAGTTGCCGGGTCAACGAATACCGGGACTGAACAGTAACTATTTTCAGCGTAACGAAAATATACTGACGCGTTTAACTAGTTGGTCCTTGACTGCGTACGACTATTGTAATCTCTCTAAGGAAAGCGCTTTCGACATTAATGGTTTATTACTATCTCTTAAATTCGCAATAATCAACATTTTCTTTGCGTAGATAAACTGACACGTTAAAATTAATTCATTTCACAGTTTTTTCGGTTTTTACTAACGAAACTCGCGTTGTTAAACTTTACGTTCCAATAAAACCAAATTATCCGTATCCACCGCCGCCGGGTACTTTTTTTATGCCCGACGAACTCCGAAAGATTTTATTTAGCGCTGAAACGACATAGCTATTTCATAATATTTCCTAATCGAAAACTTTTCTGGAAACTTTCCCGGATTACTTATCCGATAACTTTCACGATCTTTTACGTTGCTCCAAACATAACACCAAAAAAATATCACTTTGGTCTGAACAGTGTCTACGTACGTGGTTTAGGAACGTCTATTAAAAAGAACTTAATCACGACTGACACGGACCTACAACATGGCGGCTTACTAATTCAGGCGGACATCTTTAATCGTTAACTCGTTGATTCGAGCCCGAAGAGTTAAATAAGTACCAAGGTAGTAACACTCTAATACCACTTTTTATCTAATATGCTTTATGCTAGATTTTCAGTTTTCACGCTACATGATGGTTAACATTGCAAGTTAAATTACTTTTAGGACTAATCCGAAAAGTAACTATTTTTTGTACAGCTACCATGTGATACCGATAACTCCCGAAATTGCCCATTTTATGTACCTAAAAATGTGACAAAATAGTATCTTATTCGGGTGGTTGGAAAAGAACATTATTTTTAATGAAATACTTACGAACTCCCGTTTCTTATAGTAGGGTAGCCCAATAGGAGATTTTGGGATTTACTGGAGCGCGTCAGGCTGTAGTAAGGTGGGTTGACTACGTGTTGTAAACTGTGCACTTCAATAATCTGACGATTTGGGCGTGAGGTGAGGGCGTAAAAAGGTCACGAACTAGCAAAAATAGACCGTACCTTGACATTCTGGAA